CTCCTCCTTCCTGATAAGAGTACCCCAAATTTCCTTGGGGAAGCCACCTCTCTCCTATTATTCAGTGGTTGGAGATTGACCCCACGCTCAGCTTGGAGGAGGTGGCCTGATTGGCCTGACCTAGTTAACATATCCGTTGCACCCTGGCCACAGTGATTGGCTTGGGGGGGGAGGGGTGCTGTCCATTAAGAGGTAAACCTCAGCACCTTGAGCAGGAACACTGAGACTCAAAATTCTGCTGACCTTGCGAGGAGGGCATCAGGCTTGTGATAACTGGGGTCATTTTGTTACCACACGGGTAACTAGTCTGTGGGATGGAAGCCAAGCTACAGGAAGCAGGGCTAAATGCAACCTACCGATGTCACTTGAGTTCTTGATCAAACCATTCCTGAAGCTCCTGCTGGACTGTTCTGTGAACCAATACTTTTCCTTCTGTTTAAGCCACTTATAATTAAAGTTTTCTGTCACTTGCAACCTTAAACACAAGGATCAAATGACGTAATGAATGCAAATGCAATTCCACAAACATCCCTTGAACATCTACCCCGTGCTAGGCATTGTGCTAGTTTCTGGCCATCCTGAGATGAAAGGACAGAAGTAGCCACTGTCTTCACAGCACTCAAGTGCCCAGCACATAGTAGATGTTCATCAAATGTACTCTCTCCCCCTTTGCCACCCAAGGGCCAGGCGCCCGGCCTGCTAGAAGATTCACAATGAATATTTACTGAATCAAACGATTTCTCCAAGCTTCCATTGGCCAAAGTCCGGAGGAGAGGCTCCCAGGAACCAGGAGAGCCAGACCACCGGTAGTCTGTTTAGGGTGAAGCTGTTTGCTCAGCCAGTGTCCCGCAGCCAAGGTGACCCCACTGTCCCTGAACTTCCCTGCTGCAGGGAGGGCACCCGCACCACAGCAAATGGTGTTATCCACCCAATCGCCAGATCCCGAACCAGGCTTCAGCAGCTCAGACTACTGCTGCTCCCGGCGGGGGGGGGGGGGGGG